TGCTAGTTTTTGTTGACCTGGGTTTTAGCTTACCATAAGGAATACACTGGTGTCAATCTAGGAGGGATTGTGAGTGCTTTGTCTGCAGCATTAAGAATATCTTAGTAAGAATAGGGTGTATTTAGAACAAATGGGTCAGATGCATTAATACAAAATATGCAGCATCTGATTAATCTCTCTTGACACTTTTCATACCTAACACTGAGGTGTCAGTTGTCAGGTCATAAGCAGAATAATATTATCAAAGTTATGTTCTTATAAAGAAAACAAATATTCAGGAAGGCATTAATACAGGAATTCTGTGTGAAACTTGGCATCAATTATCTTCTTGTCAGAGCTGCTGAGGTGCTGGTTCTGAACTGCAGACTTGAAGAAGAGTAACACTGCTGATGGGAACTAGAAAGAACAAAAGTGGCACAGAGCTTAAAAGCTCTGTTCTGCTAGTAAGGGGTAAAAAAACCTCAATTTGCTTATTATAGAAGATGCTTGAGGGCACAGTAACAGTATTCACGTGTGTAGGCAGGCAGTGGCTGTCTTCCATCGCAGATACAAATTAATCTTATCTTCACTGTTCTAGACTTGTTTTGAATGAGAGGAGCTCCAGAAATTGGGGTAGTGAGCACTGGAGCATCTCATCCAGGGAAGCTGTGGAATTCTTCCTGTGGTGCTGCAGAGGGCAAATAAAGCCAATTTTTGCTTTGGAGTGGAGCACAGAGCTCTTGAGCTCTGTTTCAGCTCTGTGGTGTTCTGTTAACAAAAACATCTCTGTGCAGAAGGTATTTGGTGCTTCTAAATATGAACACGAGTATTCTCAAGTTCCTGTCTCATCCCACCCAGTCATCTCAGTGTGAGACACATGAGTTCTAAGGCAATGACAGGCCAAGATTTTGGGATCAGTTAAGAGCTGCCGTGGTTTTATACATCCTTTGCTGCTGCTCAGTTTCTTAACTCAGTTGATTTGTGTTGTAGTTACAAGGTAGGGGTTTGGTTACCTCTCTCTCACAATTTCCTGTATGTGTATTTTCTACCTTTTATGTACACATTCTTATTCCTTTCACATTCTCTGCTTCTTAGATTTTATACCATCTCTTTTGGAATCTTTCAGTTTGCTCCTAACGTAAGTAGGACCTATGCCAGCTGTAGCTCACTGTGCCAAACAGAGCACATGCTCCCAACATGTAGCTAACTGGCCAGTGGAACATATATATCCAGAGGGAGTATGTTAAGCACTGCAGTTTCTGCTGCAGAATCAAGAGTGCTCAAGGCTAGGTGCTGGTTTGGGTTGCTCGCTTGGCTCATGATGTTGTAGTGCTCAGAGCAGATCAGAGTAAGGGATGCAGAGCAGAGCTGTCATCGTTTCTCTCTTCCATGCTGTGGATGCGTGGAGCTTTGTGAGTTATCAGCACTTTGAGCAGCAATATCACTGCCTCCAAAACAATGCTCTTCTGGAGAATGTGGTGCTGAGGGATAGGGATACGACCTATCCTGCAGGCAGCTCAGTTGCCAGAGTCTGCCTGGGAGGAAGACCTGTTGCAGTGAAGCCATGAATGTCATAGCAGAAGCTATAATAAATTGGCAGGCTGGGCCCAGCAGGTGTTGGCCACTATGTTTATTAGAACTTTAAAGGTTTTAATCTAGAGAGGAAGAAGCTTCTTGGCATTTTGTTATTAAATTATAGATGAGGAGGGACTTAGTTGATCAGAACTTGAGGAATCTCTGGCTTTGAAAATCATGTAAGAACTTTAGATGGCCCTGGTTCTCTGTCTCCCCCTTCTACTGCCTTCGTGAGCTCTTGTGCCATACACATTGCAAGATGAGTGCTAAATGGGGGGAAAAAAACCCAGCAGGTAAGTGAGCATCCACGTGTCCTTTCAATGTGAGTAGCTTGCCAGTTTTTCATCTCATTGAAGTGGGAAGCAAAACTGCAGCCACCTACAGAAGAGGGTCAAGTGACACCCTGAGTCATCAAAGTAGCAAACAAAGTTACATCTCATTTTATATTTTACTTGGCAAATAGGTGATCCTTACTTAATACCAATAACAAAATTGATTGGGCACGAATCCTTAAGTATTAGTAGTTCTCATCCTGGGAGCTTAAGAAAGTGAACGAAACAGGAGCTTCAGAGCTGTGTTGTATATCAGTACAGGATGTTCCATGGTATTTGACTCTCTACAAAACGTCATGTGCATTGCTAGCAGCAAATAGTTACTGATTAGACTGGCCACATGTGCTATAGATTGAGTCCTGCTGTGGTGTCTGTATGAGCACATTATGGTATCCTTCTTTCCTTACTTTTCTTTGCTTCCTTTGAACCTGGCATTATTTTTCTTTCCATAGGTTCTTACGCAGTTCCAGCTGTGTTAATTAGCTGAAGAGTCAAATCTGTCCTGTCCATTGAGACTGACTTTGTAGATGTGGTGTGCAATGTAGTTATGTGTGTAATACTTGAAGCAGTGTTGATATCACCATTTAGAAGCAGCATTGTTTCTGTTCACGCCCTCTGGATGAGCACAGTGACATAATGTGAATGTTCTCAGTGGCTGTAATGTGCTTTGGGAAAGATAGAAAATTTCTGCTTATTTTAGGTAAAAGCTCACATATCACAGTATACAGAGATGTGCAGCTCTGCTGGCTGAGCTGGTTAGCTGTGGGGCTGTGGTTGGTTTGGGCTAACCAGATTAGCAACCTGCTTTGTTACCAGTATTTAGTGGGGTACTGCAGGGTTTGTAAGAGCAATTTTTCTGAACGTGGATAAGAATCTTTAGTTCTCAGAGTTCTGGAGTCACTGTGAGGTGTTTTGATCTCTTGCTGTATTCGTATAGCAAGTCATACAGGGCTAGGGCTGTACTCACTGTGCTCAAGTGTTCCTGCGTCCTTTCCTGAGCCAGCATCCAAGCACGTTGCTGGGAGCTGGAGGGATTACAGAAGCCCTTGCCTCATGAGCAGTGCGGCCTGCGCAGCTCCGTGGGCATGTGGTAGGTGTTAGCAGTGCTCGTGTGGGGCTCTGCTGTTACTTGCAGTGCTGTACGCTCTTTATGATTCATTAGGCTGCTTTAAATGCAAGCAGGAAACCATTAAAGCTACCTGAAATATGAGTATTATTTCCTGTTGTGGCAAACTAATTATCTCGGGGCATATTTTGAATGAAATGTTTGGGACTGGGGCATTCTGTTTTTACTTCAATCCTTAGTGGTATTTATATGTATTCAAGGCAAGTACTGTGGCTTGTATTTTGCATCTGCTGCTTTTATGGATGTTGAGTAAATAATTATGTATGCAGCATGGCTTAGCATTGCAACCTGTAGTGGCTTAGCATTGCAACCTGGAACACTTTCAGACTTGATGCTGGCTGCAAACTGCTCACAGAAAACTGCATTTTTAAAGAAGTGAAACTTCAACAGGGAGTCTTAGAATCCTTCAAATGAAAAAATAGATAATTTCTATCAGGTAACTCTTTGTGCATAGAGCAGGAGACTCCACTGTCTTCCTAGAGTAACCATTTCTTTTTGTGTGACATATCCTAGGAAGCATGCTAGGAGAGGGAAAATAGAGTGAGAGAAATGAAAGTAGCAGAGGGGATTAAAATGAGAAGAAAGTGCATTCAAATAATCAGGTCAAATCAAACAGGCAGAATAAAACAACCAGTAGACAGGAATAATTTAAGAGTACCCAACTGCAGTATAAAGCAGTTCTGTTTTCTGGAGTTCTGTATGTTGTTCTGGTACGAGGGTAGCTTGGACAGATGCAGTATTGTGTTGGTTTTGTTTGCTATTGGGCCAGTTCTTGCTTCAGCAGCCTCAGCTTGCTGGGGCAAGTGGGGCAATTAGTGCAGCACTGTGTCCCAGGGGGCACGGGGTGCTGCCATTCCCCAAAGCTCTGCCTCCCTGCACTGCAGGAGTACGTATGTGTGGTGTGTCTGTGCTCCTGGCTCTGTGCTTTCATTTCAGTGGGCCACACGGACATATTCCAAACTTAAACAATCTCCCTGACTGAGGACTTAAGGTCTCACTTTTAGGAGTCACAGCTATTTCTCAGTTTCCTTTTACTGGCTGTTTCCAGCACCAGTGACCCATATTCTGGGCACCTTAACGCCCAGGTGCTGCTGAGTCCCTAAGGAGACTGCTTTTCCTTTAATGAGAACTTAGGTCTTTATGTGATTGTTGTCAGTGGAATTGGAAATATAAGCAGAAGAGAGCACAGTGCCCAAGTCAACGCCCCCTGTAGCTTTTTGGTCAAGCAGAAATGATGTAAATTCCCATCCTGCTATTTCAGAAGCTTGAAAAGAAGCTTGTTATTCAAAGGGCTAAAAATGGGCCAGACCACCAGTCTTTTTTTCCCCTTATAACTTATGCTGTCCGTATGCTCGCAGCGTTGAGTCAGACAGATGTGACTACCCATCTCCACTGCTCCTGGGAGCTGAGATCCATGTAACCATGGAGTAACAGGAGTTCTTCCAAAACTGAACACAGCTCTCGGTCGGAACTACTCCCACGGATGCTGTAGTGGAACAGCTGCTGGAGTAGCACAGCTCGGGGTGCTGCCTCGTGATGTGGTTTGTTCTGGACGTAGCTCTCGTCCTTTAGAGCATCTGGTGTAACGTATGTCAGAGCTGTAGCTCAGAACCTTCCTTGTTTAAACATTTTGTCCTCAGTGAGTTTCTTTGTTTCTCTTTTTGCTGTTAGCACACAGTACTGTTCTGCTAAATCAAATATCAGGGTTGTTTTTGGTATCCCTCTGTTATCTTTTGATGTCCTATTTGCCCTGCGTATCGCTGTTCAGGTTGACCAAAGCCACAATATTAAATTACCTTCAGTTTTTAAAAAATCTGATTGATTTCTTTTTCTGTTCACTGCTTATCCTCACAGTCCCTTTTCTGGTTGCACCTCTTTTTTTTT